GTTAAGGAACGCTCCGTTTTCTAACACTAAACCAAAAAACCGCGATCTACATACACCCTGAACCCTGTTGTCGAGGTGAGCTTCCCAAGTACAGCCAATGTGGCTATGTGCACGGACCCACGGCAGACGGCTACATCGCCTGGGGGCCCAGAGGGTCTGCGACATCACGAGATGTAGTGGCCGAGCCCGAGCCGTGCGGCAGATTCTGCCTTAACAACCTGCTTCAAGTAATGTAGGGGCTTAAATAGTTGCCTATACTACTTTGTGGGTTCCGTTTTATAATTATAGTATAATGGGCCCCAAAACCTGAATTATTAAGGCCCCTATAGTACTGGAAACGAATGTCCATTGCACCTTCCGCTCCGTAAGACTTCAGCAGCTCCTAGTCTGTTCACTAGGCCCGACTCCCCAGTCTCCTTAAACCCACCTGTATAGCCCTAAACTCAAGATCTCTAAACCCCTTTTCTCTAAACTCTAAGCCCTCAACCCGAATTTCCCCTTGGGGGCCCTTACCCTAAGCCGTAAACCCCAGACCCTAAACCCTAAATCCTAAACCCTAAACCCTACACCCCAAACCCTAAGCCCTAAACACTACACCCTTAGCTGGTCCTTGCATCTTTCAGGCCTGGCTCCTCTCGCAGCAAGACGCCGTGAGTTTCGACTATGCGGCCTGGCTTTAGGGTTTAGGGTTGGCTCTGCTGACGTGCTGACTTCGGGATGTGGTTTCTTTTGTAGGGTTCTTAGGGCTTGGGGCTTCGAGGTTAGGGGTCTAGCTATTTTGGGTCTTAGGGTTTTGGAGTTTCGGGGTTTTAGCTCTGTCAGTCTAGAGTTGTGTTGTCTCGGGTTTCAGGTTGGACTTTTTGTCGCTTAGGGCAAGATCAAAGTTCAGGGTTTCGGTTTCATGACTTATGTTTCGTTTTTGGCGGTGCAGTGTTCTTGACTTTGGCGTGTCAGGTATGAGTTGCCAGAACCGGGAGTACTTGGCATGGAGCTGAAACCTAACATCCTAAAGCTCCAAAACCAAAGCCTTAAGCCCAAAGCCCACGACTTTCGGACCCAGGCTGGTCCAGACATCCAACCGGCGGTTTCAGATTTGGGCTTAGGCTGTAGGGTAACGTAGTAGAGGTTTAAGCTCACAGCCTCAAAGTCTGTTCTTCTTTGTGGAGTGTTGAACTTCTCCCAATCAGCCCGAAAAGCCTTAGAGCACCCTGAAGATTGAGCAGGGCACCTGAAACTCTGAGCCCTGCCCTAGAACCCCGGAACCTTCTTGCCCCCTAAACCCTAAACCCTAAACCCTAAACCCAGGTGCCGAGGAACAAGCAGCAAGTGGGCTTCAGGCCATGGACCTAATCAGTTGACCTCAGGTTCCCGTTTCGAGTCCAGGGTCCAATATTCGGGGTGGGTTTAGGGTTTAGGGTTTAGGGTTTAGGGTTTAGGGTTCGGGGTCGGAATAATTGGAAATAGCATTCCTCTTAGGTCCCTTATCATCAGATTCTAACAGACCCCCCGAAAGCGCTGTTCTAACTACCAGGGTCCCTTCAAACCACCCTTGTAGTAACCCTGACAAAACCCCTTGAAGGATCTCTTATGGAAACCCTACCCTTACAGAAATCTTAAGGGGCCTTTGATCGGGTTCAGGGATTTAGGATCCCAGGGTTCCTTTAAAGGGTTGGTTCCTTTAAAGGGTTCCTGAAGGGAACCCTTATTCGAAGGGTTCCTTAAAGGGATCCAGTATTCTCGCAACATCACAAGCCGGTTTAAGCTCGCTAGAACTCCAGCAGGGTGTCACATCTTGCGTCAACAAGCCCACCCAGGGTTTGGGGTTGCAGGTCTTGAAGGCAAGCTGTTTTGGGGTGTCAGGGCTTACTTAAGGATCAGGGCGGCTTCCCTGGCAGGTCTTGGGGTACAGCCGTCACTCCTCACCCGGTGGACACGCGGACATGCTCTGTGTCGCTGGATTGCATGTCGCTTCGTGGGCGGTTCAGGGGTAACGTAGGGGCCTTAATAATGAGAATAGGGTTTGGTGGTATAGTATAGGCTAATTATAACAGGGAACCCCCCAAAAGCCCATTCTAATCATGAAGGCCCTTACATTACCACGGAGGCCTGAAGGACAGAAGTCCTGACGTCTCAAAGGTGTTGTTCGGCTTCTGGGTTCACCTGTTGTGAATTGAGGGCTTTAGGGCTTTAGGGTTTGGGGTTTTAGGGTTTAGGGTTTTATGGTTTAGGGTTTAGGGTTTTAGGGTTTAGGGTGTAGGGTTTAGGGTTTAGGGGACGAGCACGATGCTTTGCTTCAAAACAAGGCCCTGAATCCCGCCCTTGATCCTGAAGAGGAGGTCGAGCCTTCCGAAGGCTTCATCCCTCCGGGGGCCCTTAGTGCAAGCCTTTGGCTAGTTCTCTAAACTAGGGTCTCTTTTGGTCACCTTTTTATAAGGGTGCCGTACTATACTGGGAGCTAGAAAAGGATCCTAATTTGGAAAACTACCCATATATATATATAGATATATATGTATATATATATATATATGTATGGATGGACTCCTGCTGCTCAGCGACCATGCTTCTCGGAAAGAGCCAGCTCAGCTTCTCCCGACGTGAGTGGTTCGACCCCTCGATCCCTGTTTCGGCTTTTACGGGTTAAAGGTTCGGGGTTTCGGCTTTAGCCTGTCATCTTCGCGCCCGGCAGCATCTGATGTTGGGGGCTTAAAACTGAGGTCTGGGAATCTAGTAGTAACATAGCCTCAGAATCCTTACATGCTTACATAGTTATCTGATAAGCCGCACCGTAGCCCGAGTCCCGGTAGTCCCTGAAGGTTTGAGACTGAGACTGCCGGCCGGCTCAGGTACGGGGCGTCCGACTTCTTGACGGCGCAGGGCACCATCGATGCAGCCATCGAAGACCTGTGTGAGTAGGCACCAGAATGCCCGAACCCCAAGCCCTCAGCCTTTAGGCCCACATCATCGATTGAGGCTTTGAGCCTAAGAGTTTGAGACCGAAGGTCTTGAACTGCAAACCCTCACCCTGAACCCTCAATCCTAAACCCTACTCTCCCTCAACCCTGGAGCCTCAAGCCCAAAAGCTCTAAGTCCCTACTTCCAGCCCAAATCCCACAACCCTCAACCCTTACAGCTCTACACAGCTCTACACCCCAAACCTCGCAACCCTCAGCAACCCGAAAGCCCTCCACCAAGTCCCAAATGCAGCAAAGCACTGAGGCAACATCTCCGCTTGCGCTGCCATCTTGGAGGATCCCGGGGCTTGCCATGCCGCATCCCGGCCAGCAAGCAGCCCTCAACCCTAAACCCTAAAGGCCCAAAGCCCTAAACCTTAAACCCCAAAGGCTGCTGGAGTATAGGCTGCTTTTGGTTTTGTACCTGGGTTTTCTAGGGCTTGGTAAGGGTTTGTAAAGGCACCAAACCCTGAGCCCAAAGCCCAGTCCAATCCCCTGGTGGTCGGCTTCTTATGAATATGATATCCTTGCGTTGTACTCTTCTACATCTGCACAAACTCCAAAAATCATCAACACGGGCATATAAATCCACCCCTCAAGGATGAAGTCCCTTAGACATCCTGTTAAGTTTCGAAGGCAAACTGCACTTGGCGTCCCATTTTCGGGAGCGGGAAGTGTATCGATACACCGGAGGCACCTCTGCCTGTGTTGCGCAGGATAGGCCTTGCAGTGCAGGATTTGGGGTATCTGATTTCGGTTTCTTCGACTTGTCGGAGTTTGAGGAGCTGGTGTTCTGGAGGGGTCCGTCTTGCCGAAGGTCCCTAAACCCTGAACCCTGAACCCTGAGTCACAACTTGTTGGAAACACCGGCTGTTTAAGACGGGAAAGGCTGATTCCAGACTCTACAGAACGCCAAAACATTGCGGCGATGAACGGTACCAGCTTTCTTGTCCCTGTCTACTGGCAAGAAAGTTCTGCTAGTTGCGGCCGCCGCCGCAAACTCTCCAGATTGCAGGTTTTAGGGCTAGGGATTCCGGATGTGGGACACAGAAGCTCGGGCAGCAGTATAGAAGCCTGAATACTTACTAACACTATCATCTATCCCTCAGTGTTCCATTAACAGTAAAGTATGATATACCATGCAAAAAGCGAATCTAATTCTCGAGGCCACTCCATCAGTGGCTCAAGGTTTCGGGTGCAGCTAAGACTGTTTGCGCTCAAGCGTGGGTTGTCGGGTTCGTTCACCAAAGCCCCCAACCCGCAAGACCTAGGTTGCAAAACCCCACATCCGAATATAGGGATCCAAGCCATGAGCAAAAGCCTCGCCTTGTTGGACTATGCGGTTTAGTGTGTAGGGTTTAGGGTTTAGGGTATGATACAGCTACACATGTTCGCGCCTAGGTTCACGGACTACCGTCCAACCATCTCGCTCACATATCCTATAACCACCCGCCCCAACCATCTTACCAAATATCCGACACCCCACACAGCCCAAAGACCCTAACAACCATTCTACCCAAAAGACCTTACCGAATATCCTAGAACCATTCTACCCAAAGGTCCTTACCAACAATCCACCCAAAACCCCTATATACCAGCCATCTTATATACCAACATATCCTTACAACCATCTTGCCAACATACCTCAGAATTATCTTACCAGATATCCTATACACCCACAGCCCTAAAGACTTTAACAAGTATCCTACGACCTTACCGTGCTAACACTAAAGATCTTAACAAATATCCTAACAAACATCCTAACAAATGTCCTAAGCAAACCCTAAACCCTGAGATCTCAGCATACTTTTCACTTTACAGTTTCTGTCGCGTCTCAACAACTGTTAAGACGTTTTTGTGTGGTATCCGCAACGTTGCCGAAACTACTCTGCATGTTTGAATCGGAATCGATAAACCCCATTGATCCCCAGCCGATTTTTTTCGGAGGTCACCTTCACACTCCGCATCCCTGAGCTGTACACCACGACAACGACGACGGCCGCTGGGGATTGCATTGGCGGCCATGAGAGAAGCAGTCGCAAGTGTCAATACAACAGCTATTATGGGTAATGATGGATGTCAAGGGACGGTTGTGATGAGGGGGTGGAAAACCGTGAAGATGGGATGATGGATGTGATGACGATGGTGGTGATGATGATGACTATGATGACGATGATGATGATGATGATGATGATGATGAAGGTAGCTATGCTTAATCAATCGCATCGCGTTAGGCATCAAGTCCATAGCACAAATCATACGCCCCGAGTCCACGAACCACAAGTCCTCAACCAATCACCCGGAGTGCGGAAGTGGTGCTCAACGCAAAATCCTTGGTACCGGAGTTCGAAGCTCTGTGTGAAGGGTGGTCGATGTATCAATCTTCCCACCATTCAACGGTCCTCTGCACCATCGATCTGCGGATGAGGGTTTCGGCTTCAGGACTTTCTTGCTGAGGCCGTAGTCACATAGTCTTTCGGGCTTAGGATAGACTTTCAAGTGGTTTTGGGCTGCATCTTTGCGAGTTTGAGCTTTTGCTTGTCCAGGCCACGGTCACAGCAACTTCCACGGTGTCGACAACTTTCAGCTCTACTTCGAGCTCTTCCTCTACCAGCTCCACCACGGAAAGCTCCACGACATGGACGTCGATTTCCACCTCGACACTGTCCTCGACTTTCTCGTCTTCCTCCTCGACTTCCACTTCGACAAGCACCACGACGACGGTGACCAGCACCACGGTGACCAGCACCACGGTGTCCAGCACCACGCTGAGCAGCACCACGCTGAGCAGCACCACCGTCGCTTGGCTTCTTTTGTCTGAAAACTGGCTTTTGGTCGCGAAGGACTACGTATGTCAAAGGAGGAGTGAGCACCAGCATGTTCCTCGAGTCCTCACCCTGCCCATAATCTCTAAGCCCTTCATCCCCTACATTCCGAAATCCTGAAACAGTAACACCCCCTGGTCATACTCTGACCGCGCCTGGCCTCCAAAAAAAGAGCCAGTCCAAGGAAACCTTCACGGTGCTCCCGGGGCAGTGCCCGCTGCCTGTTGCGGATGCTTCGGTGGATGTGATGGACTGCCTGGGAAAGATCCCGGGGGAGACCTGCGAGGCCGGTAATAGTTTGGGTTCAGGGCCTTTTTGATGTTACAGCACGGAAAATAAGAACAACAATAGTACTTGTAGTAGTAACAATAAAGTAACAACAGCAGTCACATTAGTATTAAAAGAAGTAACAATCATAGTGGCCCTAAACCCAAAACACGGAAGCACCGTCTTGCTGTTAGTTCTGGACTTTGTGGCGAAGCAGATCAAGGATTGTTGATCCCGGCGCAGCCACTGCCACCTTACACCCCTCAACCCTGACTCTAAACCCTGGAACCATCACTCCTCCTGAACCAAAGCTCGAATGTGATTTGAAAGGTGTAAGCCCCAATCGCTGCTTCCGAGAGAGCTGAGCTTTGGGTTCTAGGGGGCTTCTGGGCTTTGGATTTGGGGGTGGGGTCTTAATGCGTATGGCGTTGGTAGACCCCTTGAGCATCGTTCCTCCGCGCGCTCAAGGGGCCTTGTGATCACCGTGCGAAGCCCTCCAAATCTTTCGAAGCGCTTAATGAAAGGTTGTCTGTAGTCTCCGATACACACGTATTTAAGCCCTCATGTCTGAACTCTGCGGGTCTTCAGATTACAGTTGAAGCTTGATTTTTGGGTCCCATGCAGGGTTCAGGGTTTCAGGATTTTCAGTGGTGCTCCGCCCTGAAGGTTGTGTGTGCAGCGGACTATGAGGGCTTGCCGACCACATTGACCTGTGGCCAGTCAGAGGTCTTCGAAGGTGATGTGCCGACTTGCACCCCGGCTGCGCCTGAGCTCCAGGATCTCGCTTCGACCTCGTTCTAGTGCTGGCTGCTAGTGGTGGTTGAGGCAGGATTTTGAGGAGGAGTAGGAGTAGGATTAGGAGCAGGAGTAGGAGTAGTTGTCGTCGTCGTCAGCAGCATTGTCGTCAGTATGGTCAGCCGCAGTAGCGTTGTAAAGACATCTTGTTCGAAGTGATGACGACAGCGGTTGGAAGGCCCTTCTGCGTGACAGAGACGTCTACTCGCTTGCTTGCTTGCCTGCTTGCCTGCTTGCGTGTATTTCTTGTACCTGTGTGGTTGTTGCAACATAGGCACCTGCTACTCTTATGCCTACTACGTCTATAGACGATTGCTGCTACCGTGGCGGTTGCTGCTACTTTGCACTCTCCACCGTGAACTGTCAAGCATCAGCCCATCATGTCAAATCTTTCAGCATTAACGTTGAGAGAGAGAGAGAGAGAGTTCTCACAAGGACTAGGCTCGACGCGACAGCCTTGCGGTCACGAGTGGAGTCTCTACAAGTCTCGTGCTCTAGGGCTGCGCTTCAACACTCAGGCGTCTTCTTAGCGTCAAGCGTCTGTCCCATACCTATGGATTATGGCCATCAGTATTGCAGTTGTCTAGCCTTGGATGTTTCTTTTGCCCAACCTTGCAGAGTCCGATCGGTACCTGGCTCCGTCGATCCTCAGACACTTAAGGCAGCACCACGACCTGGACCAGCACTGTCACAACGACCATGACCGTAAAGGGGCGGCGGGCCAAGGGATTTCAGAGCATTGCCTGGTGATTTGGGGCACTGTGGACAAGCTTGACACAGCTCGAGGGGGGGGCGTGAAGGTCTGTGAGTTTTCGGCTTTCATGAGTGAGCATGGTGCCGAACTGGTTCCCTGGTTTGTTCAGCCTGCGCAACAGGAAGCTCCCTGCTACGGCCCTTGCAGAAGGAGGGCTTAAGCTGCAATGCATGCTCAAATTAGCAAATCGGAATCGTCTGGACCCTGAACTCTCACCCCTGACCCCTAAACTCCATCCATACGACCTTATCGAGAAGCGTAATGGTCTTATTCCGTAGGGTTCCTTGTTAGAGTTCCAGTATCAAATACCCATAAGGCACCGACATAGGCTCTACACAACCTTATAAGAACCCTTAGAAGGAACCCTCAACCCAAATTATTGCAGCAATTATTGACACCCGTAAATTTCCAGGACGCAGCTGGTCCAGTGTAGTGGTGGTCTGCCTTTGGGGCGAGGCATTGCGGCTCGGCCCTCCGCAGCTTCTTCTTCCTGTGCTTAGGGTTTCTGGGGTTCAGGCTTCAAGGTTTCAGGGCTTTTTTGGCGTGGGTTTTGGGATCTTATGGTTTTTGGGTTTAGGGTTTAGGGTTTTGGGATTTTATGGTTTTTCGGGCAACACCTGAACCCATACCACCCGGCTTCCTGAAGCCGAGGTTTCGGCTCTGAGTCCTAGGCACGCAGGATTGAGCCCTATAAACCGCGATTCTGAGTCCTTTGAACACCCTTGCAAGCCAATGAATAACCTAGCCCCACTAACTCCTTTAGCATAGGAAGCATAAAAACCCTATGAGCCGCACCCCAACACCCTTAAAAGCCTTGAGCCCGCAGGGAGCTCTGCGCCCATTTTGCCCAGGTCAGCAGGGATTGCCCTGGCAAGGCCAATGGGCAGACCTGCGAGGCTGGTGGAAACACAAACTTCGACCCGTTTCGGGCTCTTGGGGTTCGGGGGATCTTGAGGGTTTAGGGTTTAGGGTTCGTGACGGTTTAGGGCTAGGGTTTAGAGTCTAGAGTTCTTGTGAGGGTTTTCTGGGTTTACCGGGAACGCTTTTGGTTTAGATATGGGGGCTCCCGTGTCGTCTTAGGGCTGTGCGGGGTGAGAGGGATGTGCGGGGGGTTTCAGTTTAGTCCTAAGTCCTAAAGTATGAGCGCTTTTAGGCGTTTTGCTTTTCAGGCAGGCAGGAAGGTTTCAGCTCAGAATTCCGTGCCACTCCCTTGGTCCCTTCAGAGAATTCTGCGAGTCACCCTCTTCCTTTGTGCTTATTTCCTCGGGTCGTACTTACAATTCAAGTCTTTCAAAGCTTTGTCTAGTCACTTCCAAACACAACCCCTTGCCGTCCGCTTTTGCTACAATTACAATGCTGCACCCCGAGGCTCCGTTGCAAGACTTCCGGCTCGTTTTTTAATTTTGAAAACCTTCACAGAACCCTTGTATCTAGGACATTTTCAGGCGGGTAGTTACCGTTATAGGAGCCTTATAGAAGGTCTATGTATTTAAAAGAGGTCTTAAAGAAGCCCTATCTACCCTAAAACTCCTCACCTGTAGTTTCCTGTAAATTTGCAAAAGCCTCCTTGAATCTTATCGAACTCCTGAAACGACCCTAACAGCGAAGGGCTTCATCCTCTTTGCAGGAATAGCTCCCAGAAAGTCGTTTAGGCTTCAGGGTCTAGGGGGCAGGTGTTTAGGGTGTTTGGGGTTTAGGGTTTTTGGGGTTTGGAGGTCTTAGGGGTTCAGGTGCACCGGCGGTTTAGAGCCACTTAGGGGCTAGAGCCCTTGGAATAGCGAACTTGCCAAAGTAACTTCTGTGGGCCGCTTAGTGGAATTATCCTAAACCCTAAACCCTAAACCCTAATGCAAAATTTCCATGGGCCCTTTCTTCGAAGCTTCGGACGCGCAAGGTGCGCTGCGATGCAAGTCTCGGCTTTGAGGGGGGTCCGGTCGAGTCGCCCAGGCTTTTATTGGCTAATTACTTATACCATTTGGGGGGTTTCTTACCAAGGTTTAAAGCATAATATAACCCAAAACGTTATATGGTTCCTTATTGTAATTCAAGCATTCTATAACCCAAAACCGTATGGTTCCTTACTGTATTCAATGTATAGTAATTATAACCCAAAACCTTATGGTTCCTTATTTTAATCAAAGCATAATCCCGTCTTTGGGCGTTTATGCGTTCAGGCTTTGGGTTTGTTGCCGCATATGCCTCGGGTTTCGTGGCACCGGAACGGACTCTAGAATGTCGCTCCCGGAATGTATCTGTTCGGTAGAAACTAATCTATCTCTTATCATCGAAACAGGTGATGGTACTCCTCGTAGATTGCGGTTACGAGTTCTGGTTTCTAAACTGCGTTCTGCGTCCAGAGGAGGGAAGTTCGATTGGGGCTGAGCCGTGAGCCCCAAACTGCAAATCCCGAACCCGTAGACCATAAAACCTAAACTACTTAAATGTTGAACCCAAGGCCATGCATGTGGGCCTCCAACACAAGCAACGAGCCCGAACCCAAAACCGCAAAACCTAAACCCTAAACCCCAAACCCTAAACCCTAAACCCTAAACCCTAAACCCCAAACCCTGAGGCCTCCAAATTTCCCTCAGCTCCAAGCCGAGGTATGTGTGCAACCCAAGCACAGGGAGCTTCGATGGGCCGGGACTTCAGTGCATCTCGGCGGCATTTGTCGTGTATGGGTAGTTTCTAAATAAGGGTCCCTTTTGGGGTCCTTTTTATAAGGGTGCCGTACTATATTGGGGACCCAACAACGGACCCTAATTTAGAGAACTGCCCGTATTGCGGTTCGTAATATGACATCACCTATACTATCATTGTTGTTGCTCTTCTTCTTCTTCGTCCTGCCTTGCCTCTTCTTGTTACTATGATTACTGTATGATTATGATGATGACTTGTATTTTGATTGCTATTACTATTATTCTTTGTATCTTAATTTTATCATTCTAGTTATTATTATTAGTACTGTACTGTTGTGATCATTAGAATTGTTTGAACTATTTCAATTATGATGATGATGATGATGGTGATGATTTGTTATCATTATTACAGGTTCTTAAACGCCTGCTTTGGCCTAATGCTGTTGGGTTTATGCTTGCCTCATCTAGAGGTATGCATGGTCGAGTGGATTTGGTGTGGGTCTCCAAACTGCCGCGCTCTGGCGAACGAGAAACAGCACCCGCACCCCCCCCGCCCCCTTTTCAACATCTCCCGACCTTACTCCCTCGCCTGTCGTCTCCTCGTTTCCGGTGCATTCTGTAGCCGTAGCCCTTGACGGTGGTTTGGAGTCTGCTCATAAAGCACTGCACCTCGCCCTGTTCCCTTTTCTTTCCTACGCCCTATGAACCGTAAACACAGCATCCCCAAGGCTTGAACCCTACTTGGAGGTTCGTGGGACTTAATAGGTGCAGTTATAAGTACCTTAATTTAGGGTTATAAGCTATTATAAGTGTAGTTACCCTATTTATAACCCTAGTTACGAAGTCCCATGAACCTTTAAGTACCCCCCCGGAAACCCCCAGCCCGCTTTCTGGAAGCCACGTCGAACTTCTTGGCAAGAGCTCGCCGACTCTTAAATGTTGGCCGCAGATGTTTTGGCAGCTTCATAGTGCGAGTTTGAGAGCCCCAAATGTTTCAGTTTTCAGATCTTGGGGTTTGGGGGGTTGAGTTTGGTGTGTAGGTGTTGAAAAGCGGCTTTAGAGGGCAGGGTCTAAGGTCTACAGGCTTTGCTGAGAATTCAGGTTTTAGGATGAGGATGTCCTTGCATGTATATACGAGCCCGGGTATCCTAAACCGAGACCGGAGTCCTATTCTAATGACGAAGGCCCCAAGCCTCAAAAACCCTACGTTTTTAGACCCTTAACCCTAAACTCTAGACCCTGAGCCCGGTATGAAACAAAGCCGAACGAGTAAACCCTAAACCCTAAACCCTAAACCCTAAACCCTACTTCGGAACCAGAAGGTTTCCTCCCGAGCTGCCCGACGGATGCGCTGCCAGCGTCCCTGGACATCGCAGACTGCGACAACACGGAGCGGTCCCAGAGAGCCCGACGTAGCCCCCAAGTTATAGATTTCTATAAGTCTATAAGGTAATCCCCAAAAGGAACTACTATGGGGCCTATGGGTATAGGTTATAGACTCCACTCCAAGCATACTCTTTCGTCAAGATGGATTGGGCTCGGATCTTTTTGTGGTTGAGGGTTTTTGTTGACAGGGGCTTCCAAAAATCTGAGGATAAAGTCACAAGCGTTCT